GGGAACACTGAAGAGAAGAAGGCCGACACAGAGAAAAAGCCTTCCCCTGGAGCTGACGCCCTGAATTTGGACTTTTAGCCTACTTTACTGTGAGGAAATAAACTTCTCTTCATTAAAACCATCCACTTGTGGTATTTCTGTTGTAGCAGCACTAGATGACTAAGACAATTGGGCAAATCTGATGTAAAAGACCTCTTTGAAGTGTTAAAAAGCGAAGAAGTCACTTTGAGGACTAAGGTGCGCCTGACCCGAGCCATGGTATTTCCAATCTCCTCATTTGCATGTGAAAGCTGGACAATGAATAAGGAAGACCAAAGAAGAATTGATGGCTTTGAATTACAGTATTGGTGAAAAATATTAAACATACCATAGACTTACAGAAGAACAAACAAATCTGTTTTGGAAGAAGTACAGCCAGAATGCTCCTTGGAAGTGAGAGACTTCGTCTCACATACTTTGGACATGTTACTAGGAGGGTCCAGTCCCTGGAGAAGGACATCATGCTTGGTAAAGTAGAGGGTCAGGGAAAAGAGGAAGACCCTCAACGAGATGGACTGACACAGTGGCTGCAACAATAGGCTCAAACTTAGCAACGATTGTGAGGATGGTGCAGGACTGGGAAGTGTTAAGTTTCTTTTGTATAGAGGGTTGCTAAGAGTTGGAGCCAACTTGATGGTACCTAACAGCAATAGCATGAGTTGGAATTGACTCACAGCAATGGGTTTGGTTTTTATATGTATACTGATAATAATATGATATGTTATAGATATATCTAATAAGCAAAGATGTGTGTTTAAGGGCTCAGGTATGCCTGACCCAAGCCATGTTGTTTTCAATCACCTTATATGCATTCGAAAGCTGGACAATGAATGAGGAAGACTGAAGAAAGAACTGATGCCTTTGAATTACGGTGTTGGCGAAGAATATTGAGTATACCATGGACTGCCAGAAGAATGAACAAGTCTGTCTTGGAAGAAATACAGCCAGAGTGCTCCTTGGAAGCGAGGATGGCGAGACCTTGTCTCACATACTTTGGGCATGTTATCAGGAGGGACCAGTCCCTGGAGAAAGGGCATCATGCTTGGTAAAGTAGAGCATCAGTGAAAAAGAGGAAGACCTTTGATGAGATGGATTGACCCAGTGGCTACAACAACAGGCTCAAACATACAAGGGATTGTGAGGATGGCGCAGGACCTGGTATTATTTCGTTCTGTTGTACATAGGGTCTCTATGAGCCGGAACTGACTCGACAGCAGCTAACAGCAACAACAACATATCTATATTAAGTGGATTAAAAAGGATCGATAAACTAGTTTAGCTAGTACTGGGGAAAACTGTGAAGTAGACCAATAGTTTTTGTTTGTGTGTGTGTGGGAAATGTATATATAACAGAATATTTACCATTTCAACATTCTTCATATGTACAATTCAGTGACAGTGATTGTGCTCATCATGTTGTGTAATCATCACCGTTATCCCTTTCCAGATTTTTTCATCACCTTTAACAGAAGCTCAGTGTCCCCTAAGCAGTAAGTCCCCTTTGCTCCTCTCTTCCGCCTGCCCCTGGTAACCACTAATAAACTTAGTTTTGTGTATACTAGGCAAATAGTGCTTTCAGAGACCAGTCCTTCCCTTCTGCCTCTTTTGATCCACTTCCCTGGAAGGAGAATGCTATGTGTTGGTGTGTATGAAGTAGGCAGAGAACAGCATGAAGGTATCAGGTGCTTAGAAGGTGGGGACAAGGGGATTTTGTTATTGCTGGCTCTGCACGTACTACCTCTATGACCTCGGGAAAGCTAGTTAATCCCCGTGAGACTTAGTTTTCCCATTTGAAAATAATGCTAACTACTGTTTTACGTAAACACTATCCTTTCTGTTATTATTTATTAATGTATTTATTTTTATTTATTCACTGTTTGAGGTGATACTAAAACACTTTATTCCTAATTTAATCAGAAATTTGCATACCAGGAAAATAAAAGCATATAATATACAGGGACATTACTTAAGTGCTTTAAAAACCCTTTTCAGCAGCACAGTCATCTACAATGGGCTTTTAGGGTCTGGAAAGGTAACATGGAGTTCAGAAAGGGTTAATACACTTTTGGAAATAGCCACGCACTCAAAGGAAGAACAGAACCCTATGTCTTTCAAAAGTAACTCCTTCGCTTTCACTCTAGTCTAGTTTTGTTCAGACTGAAATGTGTAAAGTAAGCAGCTTTGTATTTATTGTTACCTTACTATTAAATTTACATCAGCTGTTTAAGCAAAACATTGATTTAATTGCTCTGTTTGTCATTTCTAGGGAATGGGCCGCACCATGACCGTTGCTGTACTTATAATGAAAACAACTTGGTAGATGGTGTTTATTGTCTCCCAATTGGACACTGGATTGAGGCCACTGGGCACACCAATGAGATGAAGCACACAACGGACTTCTATTTTAATATTGCAGGCCACCAAGCCATGCATTATTCAAGGTAAAAATAGTGCTGTGTTTATAAGCATAGAAGTAGGACAAGATGTAGCATTACGACATGGAAATATTTACTGTGTTCAAAACTTCAGTGTCTCCTTTTGGAGGGTTATATAGGCCTGCAATACTTTGAGAGGATAAAGTATAGTGAAACAGTGTGTGAACTTCTCTAGCTCTAGGTGTAAGAAATCCTTTTTACAGAATTAAAAAAGATACATGCCTTGGCATCAATGTATTTTGACCAGAAAGTAGTTTACCCATTTTTTTACTTATAAAGTAGATTAAAAGTAAAACAAAATAGCGCTAAGATATCATAGATTAGTATTTGTATCCTTCCTGCTACTGACCAGCAGTGAAGCCAACGTTAGTGTCTCCTTGGAAAATCTTATTCATATAAACATATGACAATCTAGACAAACTAGATTGGGTGTCATCATTCACTTTAATATTTATTAATATATCTATTTATTTGATAATCATCTCAGCAATATTTGCCATAATGGAAATTCAAACACTGTTGTTGTTATTGTTGTTGGGTGCTGTTGAGTCGGTTCCGATTCATAGTGACCCTGTGTACAACAGAGCGAAACACTGCCTGGTCTGGAGCCATCCTCACAATTGTTTGGGCTTATTGTTGCAGCTTCTGTGTCAGTCCATCTCGTTGAGGGTCTTCCTCTTTTTCACTGACGTTCTACCTTACCAAGCATGATGTCCTTCTCCAGGGACTGGTCCCTCCTGATAACATGTCCAAAGTACATGAGACAAAGTTTTGCCATCCTCACTTCCAAGGAACACTCTGGCTGTACTTCTTGCAAGACAGATTTGTTCGTTCTTCTAGCAGTCCATGGTATATTTGATATTCTTTGCCAACACCAGAATTCAAAACCATCAGTTCTTCTTTGGTCTTCCTTATTCATTGTCCAGCTTTCGCATGCATATGATGTCATTGAAAATATCATGGCTTGGGTCAGGCACACCTCAGTCCTCAAGGTGACATCTTTGCTTTTCAACACTTTAAAGAGGTCTTTTGCAGCAGATTTGCCCAATGCAATACGTCATTTGATTTCTTGAGTGCTGCTTTCATGAGTGTTGATTGTGGATCCAAGTAAAATGAAATCCTTGACAACTCTGATATTTTCTCCATTTATCATGATGTTGCTTATTGGTCAGTTGTGAGACTTTTTGTTTTCTTTATGTTGAGGTATAATCCATAGTGTAGAGGATGCTAAATGAAAATTAAGGCTGACTACACTTTCGCTCATTTCCACTTACCAGAGTAGTTATTTTTCAGTGTTTTATGATTAGCTTTTCTAGAAGTTAACTCCAAGTTTTAAATGATACCTGTATATTTTATTAATGTATCAGTTTAAAATTATCTATTGATTCCCTGCTGTCACATGTGAGAAATTTACCTCACTTATGCTTTCCCTTTCTCTGCACTCCCAATATATATATAGTTTATTTTTGTTATTTACAGTAGTTATATTCTACAAGTCCCTGTGAACACTCAGTTAACAAATCCTGAATCAACCTGTTCAGCCTCACCTGCGACTCCGTATGCACATGTCTGTGAATGACAGGGAAAGAGCCATATTGATTTTGGAGTTACAAATACATTTTAGCAAGTAGGAGAATTAGTAAATACAGAATTTGTGAATAATGATGGTTGACTCTGTTGTTAGTGTGTGTGTGTGTGTATAAATGCGGCAGGCTAACTTGTTAGCTTGCAATTAGGATAAAATTTCACTCTTCATAGTTTTGGACTTAATGGCATTTTTTGTTCCTGTATTTATCTCTAATATGGAGACAATTAGTAACTTGGCAATAAATAATAATTGTTTATAGTGGACCTATTGCCGTATCTCTGCTTTCAGGGTGTCCCATTATCTGCCAGTGTTTCTGTCATTTCAGTCTCAAGGTCACCTATATGAAAATCAGTTGGGTGATGTTTTTAAAACTACAGATTCTTGGGCCCCAACAAGTCCTGGGAATCTTTGTTTTTCAATCTCTCCATGTGATTCTTATGCACAAAAATTGGAGCTCTACCATGATTAGTCCAATAAAGACAGTATTTTAGAATTAAAAAAAGAAGATTCTTATGTGTCTGCAGTCCTTTCAGTCTAATAACTTAAAAATTATAGCCATCATTCACTCTCACTTGAAACTAGACAAGATAAAAAAAATGTGAATTCAGTTTAAAAGAAAAAAAAATTGAAAAGGTATTCATATCTTTCATTATTAAATTGAAAACATCTAATTGCTATAAAACCATACCCGTTGCCATTGAGTTGATTCTGACTCATAGTGACCCTGTAAGACAGAGTAGAACTGCCCCAGAGGGTTTCCAAGGAGCAGCTGGCACTATAGGCTTCTCATATTTAACTGAATAAGTAAAATGCTAAAATAATTTGAGACTTTATCTTAGCCACTGAAATAGGTACACCATGATGGGTTATATGTTAGAGCATATGCAATAATAGAGGTATTCAAACTCTCCTAAGAATTTATAACCACAAAAAATTACCCTGTAGTTTGTTTAAGGGAAGGGAATTATGCCCAGAATTCTTTTATTCTTGGGATAAATCATATTAGAATTGAATTGTCAGCATCTTTCATAATGATTGTCTCCCCTTTTTTTTTCTGGAACTACTATTATTCAGATGTATTCAGATATTGGACCACCGTCAGCCTGAGCCTGTAAATTTCTGGTCTTTTATCTTTCGCATGTCTTTGTCTTTTAAAAAACTTTTTGCTGTTTTTTAATTTTCCTTAAGTTCATCATCCAACACTGCTATTTAGTTTTTTATTTCTGCTATCATTCTTTCATATGCAGGAACTCGTCACTTAATTCTCTGAATGTTTATTTTTATAGCATTCTGTTTTTTTTTTAATTTATAGTTGCAAATCTTTATATCTAGGAAGATACTAAGTGATAGTTTTTTTTTTTTAATTTCTTTTCTTGCCATTGATTTTGTTTCCTCCAAATTATTTGGATTTTTCTCTTTGTTTCTTTGTCTCTATTTCTCATATTAGAGCGTTTTGTCAGATGCCTAGAAATTCTTAGTCATTGGCTTATGTTCAACTATTACAATTGAAAAAGCTGATTAGAAGCTCTGAGGTGGGCTTGTTGACTGTGAGCTTCACTGTAGGATGATCTGGCTGTGCCATTTAGATGGGAACCTCTGGTGTCAGTATCTTTAGATCTGTGTTCTGATTTCCTAGACAAGACTTGACCAGACTTTTGCTTAGAGGGTGAAACTGTGGCTGCCAGTGCTCTGGGACCTGAGTATGGCCGTTTGCTGGGGGAGTCTCAGCCTCCAATATACGTAACACACTTAATTCCTCTGCTTTCACTATGGTGTCCCTGCCTGTGCCTGATGTCCCCCAGCCCAGAGATTTGTTCAGCCTTGCCTAGAGAATAACCTCCAGTGTTTAATCAGCACTGGGGAGAAAAAGTTACTCAGCTGAGGAGAGTGGGATCCAGGAGGAGAGCCAGATCTGGGGATCTGTCTGGGGATCTAGGGGTCTGGCTGGGGATCTGGGAAACTGGTAGGGGATCTGGAAATCTGGGGATCTTCTACTGTTCAGTCTTTCAACCAGTTCTCTTTATTGTAGCATTTCTTTCACCTACATCCAGAAGTACCTGCTGCTACCACGTTCTGAACCTGTTGGGGATTCTGTAGGGTAATTCCAGTTGGTTCTCAGCTTTCCATACTGCTGGCTTTAGGACTTAGCTGTTTCAACTCTGCTAAATTATCCAGCACTCAACCAGTTGCTTTCTTTTTGCTGTTGTTGTTAGGTGCTGTCATGGATTGAATTGTGTCCCCCAAAAATATCTGTCCACTTGGCTGGGTCATGATTCCCAGTGTTGTATAATTGTGTACCATTTTGTAATCTGATGTGATTTCCTGATGTGTTGTAAATTCAATCACTATGATCTAAAAAGATGGATTAGTGGCAGTTATACTGATGAGGTATACAAGATTGGATAGTGTCTTAAGCCAATCTCTTTTGAGATATAAAAGAGAGAAGTGAGCAGAGACACCTGGGAACCTCATACCACCAAGAAAGCAGTGCCGGGAGCAGAGCATGTCCTTTGGACCCGAGGTTCCTGTGCAGAGAAGCTCCCAGACCAAGCGAAGATTGATGACATGGACCTTCCGCCAGAGCCGATGGAGAAAGCTTTCCCCTAGAGCTGACGCCCTGAATTTGGACTTGTAACCTACTGGACTGTGAGAGTAAACTTCTCTTTGCTAAAGCCATCCACTTGTGGTATTTCTGTTATAGCAGCACTAGATGACTAAAACAGGTGCTGTCAAGTCTATTCCGACTCATAGTGACCCTATGTACCACAGAATGAAACACTACCCAGTCCTGTACCATCCTAGCAATCATTGTTATGTTTGAGCCCATTGTTACAGTGACTGTGTAATCCATCTCATTAAGGGTCTTCCTCTTTTTCGCTGACCCTCTACTGTACCAAGCATGATGTCCTTCTCCAGGAACTGATCCCTTCTGGTAACACATGTCCAAAGCACATGTGACGAAGTCTTACTATCCCTGCTTATAAGGCGCATTCTGGCTGTACTTCTTCCAAGACAGATATGTTCGTTCTTCTGGCAGGTCATGGTATATTCACCATTCTTCACCAACACCATAATTCAAAACCATCAATTCTTCTTCAGTCTTTTCTGTTCATTGTCCAGCTTTCTTATGCATATGAGACATTTGAAAATACATAGAGTCGGGCGCACCTTAGTCCTCAAAGTGAAATCTTTGCTTTTCAACACTTGAAAGAGGTCTTTTGCAGCAGATTTGCCCAATGCAATATGTCATTTGATTTCTTGACTGCTGCTTCCATGGGTGTTAATTGTGGATGCAAGTAAAATGAAATCCTTGATAACTTCAGTATTTTCTGTTTATCATGATGTTGCTTATTGGTCCAGTTGTGCTTTCTGTTTTCTTTATGTTGAGGTGTAATCCATACGGAAGCCTGTAGTCTTT